ATACTCTTAGGTCTTAGTTCTAAGAAATTGTCTGCTTTTCCCTAGTTGTTCTCATCTCAAACTAATAATTCCTTTCAAATAGGGAAAAGCTCTGAGAGTTTCTCTCCAACCCAGTCATTGTTTTAAATATAATAAATATTTTAACATAGTTAAGATGATGACTTTTCCTAATGAGTTATAGATAGTACCACCTCTGGCTTTATTTTGACTAGACAGAAATATAAGTGCTATCTCAATTACTTGGTAGAACACACTTCACAACCATGAAAATATCTGATGACTGATTTATCTCATTGTCAGTATACTAGCAGTTAAATAAAGTTTATAGTTATATTGTGGCCTTAAATCTATCTTAAAGAATTAGTCCTGTCAAAGAAAGATGGGGTCAGACACATCCTGTGTTGGAGTAGAGGGTTTCTCCACAAACTGAAATATATGTTTAATAGCTTCAATAACGTATCCCTAGTGCAACCTGGTCCCTTTCTATGCCAAAAGATCATCCACCAACACTGGAATCCACACATGAAAAGAGAAACTTTCTATTTTTCCAATAAGACTTATTTTTGAATGGAAAAAAACAAATCCCTAACCTCAGGTGAAAAGTGAAGTAATTTTTCAATTTTCACATCTTGTAGTTTTCGTTTCTCACAACAAAAGAAAAATAACCTACCAATTTCCAATAAAAGTCCTATTCAAAACACAAACAAAGCAAAAGCAAACAAAATAAAGCAAAACACAGAGCAAACAAAAAAAATCTTTTACTGTTGCTACTTTTTACATATTTTATTTAGATTCATCAGAAATGGGCTCAATTGTTTAAAATGTCAACTTTGGGGCTGGGCAGAGAAAAACATCTGTTAGCCTATACCAGAAGACAGATAATTTCAAGTTAACCTGGGACACATCTTTCCCCATCGGAGTTGCCAACTTATAACTGCTCCAAACAAGTTAAGAAATTAAGGCATTGATGTATACAGATCTTTTTCATTGTGTCTGTTTAACATCAGCTAATTAGAAACTACAACATAAATTCTCTAAAGAGAATCTCTTCCATGTAAAATCACTCAAAGCCTAGGGAAATGACTTACATTATGGTAAAATGTGGATTCATAATGAAAATACTAGCGATATGCAGTTTTTAAAATGAACCCCAATATCAGAAACTAGTAGAAAATAAAAAGAATAGAATTTTCTCAATCTGTCATGATTTATAAAACACAAGTGTAAAGACTAGCACGAAATGGTATTTAAAATAATCCAACATTATATGTTAGGAGAGTTGGTTAATCCATTCTACTTGATCCTAATAGCATACCTGGGGTTGTCTACAATCTTTAACCCCAAAATAATTTTAATTACAACCATGGATGGTGTTTCACTAAATTCTAGTTGCACAAAGGACCTTTTTATTTTCCAGCATCTCCTGTGAAATTGGTCCTCCCAAGTAAAATCAATATATAGGATAAATGAATGGGGGAAATCAAAAATTGAAACCAAACTTCTTGTCAAAACTGAGCTATATGACTATAAGTCAAACAGGATTTTCCTGAGACATAATGATATTCACTCAGTTCAAATGATTAGAGAATTATAGAAAGAAAGGCTTAAATTTAAAATGTTACAGATTAAGATAATAGTTCAATCTATATTGTTTCTTGTTCTGTGTCTTGCATTGTACTTTGAAAAGATCAGTTTAACAAATCCTTGTTGGTGAATGAAAACTGATAATAAATTTCATCAGTACTAATAAAAATGTAGTAAAACTGAAAAGGTTTTCAACTACCTAAATCAGTGGTCACCAATCACTGAAAATAAATTATAAAAGTACTTAAATTATTTATCAGAAATACAATAAGGTATTTAAATGATGAAAATCTGCAAAACAGATTTAAAATATTAAAAACATTTGCTTTTAATGTATTTTTTCCTATTATTTCCTACTCAGACAAATGTTATTATGATCTTTTATATGTCTGGTGTACCTTTACGATCTCTAAGCATATTACCAATATTAACTCATTCATTTGAACTTGTCTTATAGTAACATCATTATCATAATTAACAGAAAAACACTAAAGCACAGTATTTATCATTGACCCAGGCATTTACTAGTGAGCTCAGAAGATAACAACAACAAAAAAAACATTATAAAATTATCATAAAATCACTCTTTAAAAACATTTATTGCTATGAGAGGGGTGAAAAGTTACAGAGTCAGAAGTAGCTCAACTTAAGGTTCCAATATAATTTCTGAATTGGTTGCTTTATTGATTAAAATCATGTGACTAAACTATGCAAAAAATCCTATGAATATTCAATATATAAGGAACCCACAACTCCGAATGAAACTAGTTGATGGGCTATTAAATAAGGAGAGCCTTTAAAGTTTCCATTAATAATTGTATGAACTGCTTGTTTTTATTTTGAGTACAGGTATCAAGGGTCAAGATTTTTTTTCTTTACCTATCCTCTTTTAAAAAGCTTTATTCCCTAGTATCCTACTTATTTTGTAAGTCTTATTGAAGGACTTAAATCACCTTTTTACAGTAATATTTCATTTAAAGTAATGGTAAGAGAACTCAAATAGATGTGAATACCAAGAAAAGTTGTACTGGAAAAAAAATTTAGTCATAGTTTACCTATGTAAGTTGCTCAACTCTCCTGATTAAACTGACTAATACATTTGACAAATCATTCTTTTTTAAAGTAGTAGTTGTGTCTAAAAATGTATCAGGGATAAAATTTCAATCAGAGAAAACATTCCTTACAAATATGTATGTTTAATTTTGTTGGAATGATGGGAAAGGACTCTTATTCACCTCCATCCAGAGAAGAGGAAGAGTGAGTGTTATCTTTAATCTCTAACAAATAATATGTTAAAAATATAGTTCCTAACTTCAAAGGACTTTTAGTCTAGATAGAAACAGAGATCGTAGACATTAAATAAAGAAAAATATTCTTCCAAAGCATATTTTTCCTACTGAGATTTTCCATCTCCCTGAATATTAAAAAAAAATCACCTGTTTTCCCCCAATGGGGAAAAAATAATAAGAAAGTAAAAATTTGTTAAATGGTAGGTTTTGCTATAGTTTAAAAGATTGCAAAAGCCAATGCAATTTTTACTGATTTACAAGTAAAATTATCTAATACAAAACCATGGAAATCAGCATCTAGAGGATCAAATTAGCAGTACTGTGAAATTACCTGGACACTTAAAAAACAAGAGAAAAAAAAGAAACTAAAGTAGGTGGCAGGTACTTGTTACAATATAGGGAGCTGAACTATCACCAGATCATAGTTTAAATATAGTGGGTGAAAATTTAATGAATATGTGGAAATGGAATCAGCTCAGAAACCATAGTTATTTCCATTTTAAATAAGGACAATGGTTCTGCACCACCAGCTGTTTATAGTTCATTGAATGAGGTTCTAGTTGTTAGGAGATAATTATTTCTTCCTTACAGGAGGTGAAGTGCTTCTCATTCTGCAGACACCTCTGATGAATGGCCATGAAAGTATGACACCAAGACAGCAACCCAAGATCAGTTTAGTTTTTAATGATCTCTTTAAACACTTGATTTTCTATTTTTTCCTAGTAAAGTATAGGAAAATGTGCACCTTCAAATATATAGAAGCATGTCACTGGTTGTCATTTGCTTTTATAAGACACTTTAACATTAAAGGAAAAGCAGACTGTACACAGTATGTATATGATCAACAACATTAGAAAAGGATGGGGGTGGAAGATGTTTTATGGTCATTTCAACTTTAAGCATTTTTGAATTTTGAAGAATTCTACTGATACATTGTTTTCCCATAAAAAGAATTCTATCCCTCAGTTTTCTGTCAGTTAATGATGCTGACATTATCCCAGCCATTTCAGCTCTTTCACCCATTTAGAAAGACCTATCAATTCTATCTTCTCAGGCTCTCACAAATTTGTCTCTTCAATTCCAATGCAAACTGCCATGTACCTCAGTACTTCTCACCTACACCATAGTCCTCTTATTGTAAATGGTCTCCCTCCTCCTAGTCTCTTCAAATACTAATCTAGTTCAACCAAAATACTATTTTCAGATTAATATTACCAAAGCACCACTCTAATCATGCCACTCTTATGTGTAAAACCTTTCAAAAGCGGGTTGTGACTCCAAAATAGAAAAATGCTTATGGTACATGAAGCAGAAAAGCAAAATTCAAAAACAAACAAATTCTGTCCTTATAAATATTAAGACTGTGTATGCATATTAATAAAAACTAGAAAAGAATACAAACAATTAAGAGAATTAATTTAAAGGTCCTAGGACTTGGGGTTTACCAGTATTTTTTATTTGTTATTAAAGATGTTTATGAAACAAATAAGTAAAATCTTCTAGTAACCATTTACTGCTTATATACCATAAAGCTTAACCTCTGTAATCTGGCTTCCAAACCTATCTTTCCAGCTTATTTTCCATCCCTCCTCTTCACATAACCTAAAACCCCAGACAAACTAAACTATCCCATTTCTCATTTGGGTTCCTGTACTGCTCTTTCTTAGCTATCAGCCATTGCTCACATTATATTCTCCAGCTGGTATGTTCTCTTCCTCCATTTTCATGTGTCCAAATCCTACCTAACTATCCTTTTACAGCCTTTACAGTTCAGTTCAAATAGTACATTCTCCACAAAACTAACTCAGATGTCCCTCCCCTTACCCAAAATTCCAATAAGCATTTCATCTATTTTACTCCTATAAAATGTAGCATGCTGTATTTTGTATTGTAGGGTGTGTGTGTGTTTGTGTTTGTAGCTCCCTTTAAGGCAGGGACTTTATTTTAACTATTTTTGAATTCCACTCAGGGCATAACATAATGTCTTTCTGAATAAATATGTAAAGTGAATAATTACTTTCAAAAGGCAATGGCTAGGAAGACTAAAAGCTAATGGCAATTATTATTTTTAATATATTATGATTTTCCTTCTTTTCTTCAAATTTATTCTTAACATAACCTTCTTACCTGAAGATATGTTATTCTCCGCTGGACCAGCTCTGTCAGATCTTTGGCCTCTTTTTCCCGCCAATCACCTGCTCCATCTGTCTGACTGAGGTAGTATAGATCCGTCATTATAGACCTGTTAAAGCAAACAACATTGGAGGTCTGACTTATTTGCTGCTGTGATGGATTACAAAAAGTCATAAGAGGAGAGCCAAATTAGTCATGAAGACTGATACACTGATGGTGGTACTCATCTTTTATTTTCTATCAAAGCTGTGAAATTCAAAAATTAGTCTCTATCATCAAATATCCATTCCTACAATAAATTTTTACTATTGAGAAACACTTTATTTTCAGGCCAATCAGCTCCTTGATTCCCAACACAGACAAATCACTGTAGAGATCTGGGAGAAGTAGATACATAAGCAAAGAAATAGGCAGATTAAGGTAAGAGAGAGAAAGAAGTTGGTGTCACCATTTAAACAGTACCTCTTTGTTCCATTATTATTTCATTCCCCCTCTTAAATTTCACTTCATACTTAAACAGTCTGAGTAGTTGGGAAAAGATAGAGAACAAATTTGATATGACTCTTAATGATCTAAATCAAAGGTCAACAAACTTTTTCTTTAAAGGGCCAGATACTAAATATTTTAGGCCTGGTGCAGTGGCTCACACCTACAATCCTAGCATTCTGGGAGGCCGAGGCAGGAGGATCACTTGAGCTCAGGAGTTCGACACCAGCCTGAGCAAGACCAATACCCCATCTCTACTAAAAATAGAAAAATTAGCCAGGCATGGTGGCGCAAGTCTGTAGTCTCAGCTACTTGGGAGGCTGAGACAGGAGGATGGCTTTAGCTCAGGAGTTTGAGGCTACAGTGAGCTATGATGACACCACTGCCCTCTACTTGGAGCAACAGAGTGAAACTTTGTCTCATACATACATAAACATTTTAGGCTTTGTGGGCCACAGTTGCCTTTGTAGCAGGAAAGCTGCCTTAGATAACATGCAAACTAATGGGTGTGGCTATGTTCCAAGAAAACTGTATTTACAAAAATAGGCAAAGAGCCAGATTTGGCCCTTGGGCTATAAATTGCTGATCCCTGATCTGAACTAATAAAATGATTGCTAAGATACTTTCCCATTCTGTGTAGCAACAGTAATTTCCTTTAACATGCTGGATTTCCTGCAGAGTAAACTAAAATACCCTGTAAACAAAGAAGAGAAACTTCAGGGCTGGTACAGATGGTTTTATTTATATTGCATTAAATAAAAGCTATGACTTGCATTTATCAATAAATAAAAGTGAAAAGCAAGCCTCTAACATTCCCCACCAATCTGTCAGCAAATATATATAGACAATTTCTGACCATATATTACCACCAGTACTACTACCAGCTGAGCCACTATTTTCTCTCATCTGGATTATTACAATAGCCTCCTAACAAGTTCCCTGCTTCTACCCTTGCCTAAGTCTACAGTCTATTCTCAATATAGCAGCCAGATCCTGTTAAAACATCAGTCAAATAATGTTATTCCTTTGCTCTTAACATGAATTAGCTTTTCATCTCAGAGTTAAAGCCAAAGTTACTACCTTGACCTATAAGGCCCCACACCATATGGCCCACCATTACCTTTTTGATCTCATCTCCTATACTATCATCCTCCTTGATTTCTCTATTTCAGCCACACTGGTCTTGTTAATAATCCCTGAAAGTGCCACGCAGGTTCCTACTCTAAAGCTTTTATATTTGCTCCTCCCTGCCATCGAATCCTCTTTTCTCAGACATCTATCCACCTGGCTCACTCAAATGTCCTTCGAATCTTTGCTCAAATGTCACCTTCTCCATAAGGCTTTCCCAGATTATCCCACTTAAAAATCCAGCATCTCCCCAATCCCTTGGCTTTCCTTCTCTTTCTTCCCTGCTTATTTTTTCCAAACAATTACCACCTTCTAATATACAATATCATTTACATCTTTATTTTATTATCTTTCTGCCCCAACCAGAATTTAAAAAAAATTTTTTTAAATCAGCATTTGGAGCAGTGCTGGTCATAGACAAAATGTTTAATAAATATCTTCAAATAGATAAGTGAAAGAAAAATTATCAAAAGAAAAATCCTCAAGAGTTTTAGATAATGTGACAATGGTCAGAATTTTTATCTTTTACAAATCCAGTTTGGGTAGTAGAGAGGTTTGGGAAAAAATCCTTAATTAGTTGCAGTTCTAGCTTTATCCCTTCTCTATACTTTGTATTAACTCCTGTTCACAGCATGCTTAAGAGTATGGATTGTGAAAATTATAAAGTCAGAAATATATTTATTTTTGTCAGAAAAGTGTATATATACATACATATATATAAATAAAACATGTGATACATATACTTCTAAAAGCACCTGCAATGATGATATTAACTAAAAACATAAAGTATTAGTTGGAGGTTCCAAGAATGCTTATAGAAAACTGTACTATAGTATTAAATATAAAGAACAACAGTAATAAACAGGTATTGAGTTCTTACTATTGGCCAGATACTTACTATAGATGCTTTAAATCAGCTCATTTAATCCTCACAACTATCTTATAAACTAAATAAGGAATGTAAGGCACTGAGAGGCTAAATAATTTGTTCAAAGTCACAAAGTACAGAATGCCAAAGTGAGAATTCAAACCCAAGCAATGTTATTCTAAAGCCCAGGCTTGTAACTACTAAACTGATGACTATCAACATAGGAGGTCTAGAGTACAATACTGTGTACTTTGTTCAATGTAAATAACAAAAATCACAAAGTCTGAATCAGAGGAAAAAGCTCTGGGAGACAGAGAGACCTATTTCTCAATTTTGGCTCTATCTCTTATTAGCTTTGAGTCTGAGGAAAGTTATTTTGACATCTATAAGTCTTAGTTACTTCATCTTAAAATAAATATCATAATATCTTCCTTGTAGCTTTTATAAAAGGACTAGTTATAATACACACAAAGTATTAAGAGTACAATATGTGGTTGGTGCTATTTTTTTAATGCTAGCAGCCCTCAGAGAGTTGTTTCAGAGCTTCTACCTTGTGTCTAAAGAGCACTTATTGATAATTCTACAACCAAGAGGAAGGTACTGTGGGCTAGTCATAAAAATGATCCAAAACCCAATTCTCTGTAACACCCTAAAGAAGGGAATTGATCAACAGACTCATTTATGATGATAAAACATGCCCTCAACAACTATGATTTACCTAGGAGTATATGACATAGTCTGTCTCTTTTATTTCTAGTCTTAACTAGATGCTAAACCATTTAGGAATAAAGCAATGCAGGAAATTCTTATTTACTATCATAGAAAGCCATCATAACTATGCATGATTAACAGAATATTTGATAATAGTCTCTTTGAATATATAAAACTATTAATAATATACAAATAAAAATTTTAAGTCTAAAGCACAGTTTAAAATATCCGTCCTAAATTATAGTAGAATAGCTCTGAACAATGCTGGGAATAACAGGGTCATTTGTGAAGCATTTTATGCATTTGTTTAAAGTGTCAACATTATCCATGCACAGGACACTTTGCATCTATTTCCATTTTAACCTATTTTAAGCAGGGCAAGATTCTAATATGTGATGTCTTATCTATTTTTATATTTGTTACTCTCACCTAAGATTCAAAACATTTTCTTTTCATGCCAAAGAGATTTTAGCTACAAAAACCAAACAATTTACTACATCCTTGAGAAATTAACCTACAGTTTTACACACTGAGCAAAGTTTCAACTTTTAAGTATTGTCAGATTATAAAACTAAGTCTCTTATGGACCATTATGTAGCCTATAGTATTCTTTTACAGTTTACTGGGAAAAGTCACCAACCACATGAAATTGTCAGTTGATCATGGAAACAGGAGTCTTTAACTATAATGGTGTTATAGGGCTCACCTAAAAGTTTATTTAAAATATCTTTTCAGTTTTAAAAGGCTCTTTAGCATCACCCTTATCACACTCATTATTCTTTATATTTCATAGGTTTCATCAATTCAAATGTAGCCATTCATTTTGTCCTACCTATCAAATAGGAATGTGCACAAAACATGTTCCAAGTCTCAACTTTAAATAGCAGTATTGTTTCTGGAGATGTCATATTGTAGGATAAATAATCAGCAAATGCCTGTCAAAGGAAAAAGGAAATTCAATATACTCTGCTTGGCTTTACATTAACATCGTATAGCCTTAAGCAAGTAAAAACTGCATTAGGCCTAATTTAGAGGGGAAAATTCTTTAATTTATAAAAATTAGCACTATTCATGCTTTCTTGTCATAGGAATCAAGACTTTCCTTACCAATGCAATGAAAGCTGATCTCTCTACTTTTTAAAATAAGCTAGAAAACATGAAAGTGAATGTTTTTATCAAGTTACCTCAGTACTAAGTCTTAGCAATTAATTATTCACATTCATCCCAGGCTCTCTCTAGAAAGCAGAATAACCAAACAACTAGACGATTGAATTTTTAAAAAGTACACTAATTTTTTATGATATTGGAGTCAAGGTCTTAATATAAGTTACTTTACCTTGCAGTCCACTAAAATTAAGCTTGCCTTTTAAATCATTTTTTCCCTGGCCTTCCCATTGGAGACCATGTAAGGAAGACAATGAAGTCCAAGAAATGACCTTAAATTCAAACTAGTTCTTTGGCAATTCAGTAATGTTTAGAAGTTACCACTCTGTAAAATTTATTTTTTGGCCAAAGACATGAGGATAATTAAATCAGAAAGCATCAGCTGTGGTCCATCATTGGGAAACACATGGGGACTAAAAACCGTTCTGCAGAAGCCCTGGGTTTTCAACAACTTTACCCTAAAACCAAATCTTCTAGAAGAGTCCCACAAGCTGGGAATCTGGTTGTCTTGGTTTTGACTATTAAGATAATAAGAAATCTAGTAGGTAGGCAATGAATCTAAAGGCCTGGTATAAGGCCAGGTCAATATTTGCGAAATACAAATCCAGGCAAAGTACCTGCAAAATACTGTTAGCCATTTAAGGACAAAATACAAATACCTGAAGACACTGAGTTGAATAGAACAGAATTTAAGACTCTGAGAGCAAGCCAGCTATGACAGGTGTCAAAACTTCTATTTCAAAAGCTGGCTA